GGCCCGCGCCCAGGCACCCCCAGGTCCCGCTGCCACCCTGCTCCAGGCCCTCGGGCTGCGCGAGGTGCCCCGGGGCGACTCCACACCTCGGCCCGTGCCCCCCGTCATGTGGCGCCTGTTCCGACTCCGAGACCCCCAGGAGACCAGGGCAGGCTCGCGGCGGATGTCCCTGGGGGCCACCCCGCGGCCGTGCCACATGGAGGAGCTGGGGGTCGCCGGAAACATCGTGCGCCACGTTCAGGACCGCGGTGAGCAGAGCTGGGGAGAAGCGGAGTCCCCTCGGGGCGCCCGGGCCGCAAGCGAGAGGGGAGAGGCCCCTTGTGTCCCCTCCCGCCCTCTGCACGCCGCGGTCACCCGTCGAGGGGTTTCCCTGGCCTGGGAGGACCCCCTTTCTTGCAGCCGAGGCCCTGCCCCCACCTCTGGTACTTCACACCATTTGATGCCTCCCAGTAGATGGGCCCGACCCCCGCCAGCATCCTTCCGCCCCCGCTCCGGCTAGTTCGCAGGCCCCCCGCTCACAGCCCAGCCCTGCCCCCACTCCGACCGACTTCTATCCCACGGGCGCCCCCGCTTCCTAGCGATCCCTCACACGGCACCAGAACTCATTGCGGACACCCCGACCTTCCCAGGTGCTGCTGCGCGGCCCCCGGAGTCTGCGTCGGCTGCCGACTTGTGCCCCGCGTGGACCGCCGTCTTCGACCTGTCGGCCGTGGGACCCGCCGAGCGCCTGAGCAGCGCGCGACTGGAGCTGCGCTTTGCGGAGGGGGCCGCGGGCCCGACGGACGGCTGGGAGCTGAGCGTGGGGCTCGCGCCTGGGCCGCGTTCCGAGTCCGCCCTCGGGATGCCGCTGCGCCTGGTGGTCCCCTCGCTGCGCACGCCGGTGCGCGCGGAGCTGCTGGACGCCGCCTGGGCCCGCAATGTCTCGGCGCCGAGTACTCTGCGCCTGGCGCTGGCACTGCACCCCCGGGGCCCTGGCGCCTGCGCGCGCCTGACCGAGGCTGCGCTGCTGCTGGTGACCCTGGATCCGCGCTTCTGTTACCCCCCAGTTCGGCCGCGGCGCGAAGTGGCCCCGGTAGCTGGCGGCGGTCCTTGCCGCGCGCGGCGGCTCTACGTGAGCTTCCGCGAGGTGGGCTGGCATCATTGGATCATCGCCCCTCGAGGATTCATGGCCAACTACTGCCAAGGGCCGTGCGCTCTACCCTCCGCCCTGGGCGCCACGGGGCAGCCGGCGTTCAACCACGCGGCGCTGCGCGCGCTCATGTACTCAGTGGCGCCCGGCGCCCAGAGTGGCCTGCCCTGTTGCGTGCCCGCACGTCTCTCGCCCATCTCCGTTCTCTTTTTTGACAACAGCGACAACGTGGTGCTCCGGCACTATGAGGACATGGTGGTGGATGAATGCGGCTGCCGCTGACCAAGGAAGCAGTGTGTGTGTGGGGCGGCGGGGGGGGGGCTATTGGGTCAGACAATAAAACACTTGAGGTCCAGGCGGCTGGTTTCCTCCCGTTTTGCACTCTCCCTGGGAAGGCAGTGGCGGCCTCGCTTCCAGGGGTGGGAAGCTGGGGTACTGGGTGTGAAGACACTGGCTCAAGTCTTCTGAGCCCTTAGCTCGGTCCCCAGGCTGGCTACAGCTGTGTCACAGCATGGCTCAAAAGCTGCTCCTGGGCTGCCTCCAGGGACTGCTCTAGCAGGGTCTTGTCCCCAGGGCCCCCACCTCCCTGCACACCAGAGTTGCCCACCCCCACGGCCCCATCCCCCAGAACCAACGCCAGAGCTGCTTATTAATATTTTATTGGTGACAAAACAGCTTAAAACAAATTGACCAAAAATCAAGAGTTACACAGCCTTGGCGAGCGCTCCAAGATGTCGAACTCGGGGGAGCGCCGCTCCGAAGGCACAGAACAAAGTGAAAGCGCGGAGCCGAGGCAAGCATTCACCAAGGGGCAGAGGGTAGGGGCAGGGCTGGGCCAGTGACAGCCACAGGGCTCTGGGTCACCAAGTAAGTGGGTGCCATGGAGACCAAGCCCCAACTTCAGTTTGCAGGAGCGCGGGTCTCCCAACCAGAACCACTCACAGCCTCACCAAGGCTGGGTGCCCTTGCCCTGCCAAGGGGCCGACCCTGCAATCCCCGCCACTAGGGCTTCTCTGAATGTGCTTCTCCCCCAAACACCAGGCCCAAGCCCACTGTGGCCGAGCGCCTCGCAGATGAAGGGGATCCGGTTGGGGTGGCCCACCTCTTGGGAAAGGCCCATGGACCTTGTAGGCGCCCTTCTGATAAGTTCTCCAGATGGGTCCTGGGCCAGGGAACAGCCTCCAGCAGGGCGGTTGCGTTCCCACCCTCTGGTCTCTGCCCGCCAGGCCCTGTCCCCATGAGAGGCTCTTCCTGGCTGGGCCTGGAGCACTGGCTCAGGGCGGCGGGCCTGCCCGCCTGCCAAGGGGCGGCTTTGCTGCTCAGAGTCCAGCAGAGCTCGGCTCATGGCCCGTTCGTCTTGCTGCAAGCTGACTGACGCCGAAGCTAGACCCCAAAATGCTCCTCCCGCTCGCTCGCTCTGGTCCATATGGGTGCCGTCCCAATTTTGAGTTTTGTTGGCTTGTTTAAACTTTGCTTCTGGAAGCTTCTTGTGTCTCCCAGGTCCACCGTTAAGATTTTAGAGAGAAACTTAGGAAAAGTGTAGCTTTCAGTACTCCTTTAAAACAATCTTTTAAAAACATAATAAAACAAACAAACAAAACAAAAATCCCAAACACCATTATTTCTTCAAATGAAACCCTTTCAGAACATGGGCGGCGGCGGCAGCAGATGGCAGGGCTCACCACACCCCCCAGGAGCCTGATCTGCACGAAGTGTGGAGTTTCTCCTGCTAAAACGTAGTCCCCTTTCGACAGAAGAAAATAAAAGCAAGAACAGAGGAAAGGGCTACTCTGAGCTGAGGGTCTTCTGCCCGCCCGCCCGCTCGCAGACCCGGGTGGACGCGTGTGGACGCAGGAGCCCGGCCTCAGGCTGGGCCGCCGGGGGCGGGCGGGCACGTCGGCACTCTCTGTCTCCTCGCCGTGGGCCGGCAGTGGCGCGTGGCCTCGCTGCTGCTGCTGCTCCTCCTCCTCCTCCTCCTCTCCCTCGCTGCTCCTCTCCCCTCTCCTGTTGCTCACAGTGGTGCTTCAGTTTTAGCAGTGGAAAACAGGTATCCATTTATTTTTATTTTTTATTACCCAGAATAAGATGCTGATGCACTAAGCCACGTCGCTTAGCTCTTCCGCCGCTGCCTGCAGGTGAGGGGAGGAGCATCAGGGTGACCCCAGGGACAGCAACCAGAGGACCCACACTACCACAATGCCCGAGGACCACCTGCCAGGCCCCCCACCCCGCCCCTGCCCCTCCCTGTGTCGACCACCAGGCCCGGGGACTTTGGGCTCGTGCCGTCTCACTCCTGCCCCAAAGGCTTGCCTTCTAATACTGGGACAGCCCAGGGACCCCGCCATGCTGGTAGGCCCGCTCTCCCTGGTACGTGGAGTCCTGTGATAGCGCCACGTCAATCTGGGACTTGAACTCATCCCCGAGGTAACTGTCCTGGAAGACAAAGTGGGGGTGAGCCCCGGGGAAAGCAGGGTCAGGAAGCCCAGACAACACAGGCCTCGTGGCTGGGCACACCTGGGACAGCTCCGGTTGGGAGAGCCCTGGCTGGCTCATCTGTGAGGGCTGGCTCATGGAGACGTAGCCCTGTGTCAGTGCGCCCTGCGAGAAGGGCTGCGAGACCACGTCCTGGCTGGCCTGGCTGCTGGGGAGCGTGGTCTGGCTGGGTCCTGGGAGACCAAAGCGGTTCTTCTGACGTCCTCCGCGGCCTGTTTTGCCTTTTGGGGTGCCCCGGCCTGGAAGAGAAGAACAAGGTGATGGGCAGCAAGGCGGCAGCTTCCCTGTCAGTAGGCGGGCGGGCAGGGGCAGGGATTACCTGCGGCCGGGCCATTCGCCTGCCCAAAGTAGCCAGGCGGTGGCATGGGTGGCATGACCAGATTGAAGGGGATGGGGATGTTCATAGCCGCCACGTGGCTGGGGCCTGCACTGATCATGCCAATCTGGTCATGGGTCTGGAAGTACATGCTTGAGGGACGACCTGGGGGTGCAAGGGAGAAGGATGAGGCCCAAGCCCCGCCCACCATCGACTCCGTCCTGCAGCTAGGGGTGGCGTGTGGCTTGGGCCCACCCTTTGCCTCATCTGCACAGGGGAGCCCGAAGGGCAGCCCCCGAGCTCCATCCTAGCTGAGCCCAGGCTTCCCCAGGTGACTGATGAGTACCCAGGGGCGGGAGGCCTGCTGGCCTGAGTGCCAAGTGCAGGAGCAACTGAAAGTGGCAAGGCAGGAACCAAGTCCTTGCCACGGCAGGCTCTCCCTGGCCTCTGCAGCACCCCAACCCACAGTGAGCAGGAAGAGCTCCCTGGCAGGGAGGAGTTGCTGGAAGCTCACGGTACACCCCTCCTCACCCCACCCACAAGAAACAAGGCCCACCACTGGGTTCAGGGAAGAGGAAGGAGGCAGTAAGGAGGGGCTGAGGGCAAGCCATGAAGGGCGGCGTGGGGAAGATTCCGGGAGTACCAGGCACAGAGGTGGGAGCCCACAGGGGGCTGAAGACCATGCTGGCCCAGAGACTGGAGCGTGGCCCTGGGAAACTCTCCCCTGCCGTGAGCATGGGAAGCTGGATGGGGACAGCGGCCGCCTCTGAGGGCACAGTGAGGCCTTCAGCCTCAGGCCAGACCCTGCCCCGAGCCCCACACATGCCAGGCCATCAAGAGGACTGAGGTCTGAGAACTGGGGGTGGGGGGTAGACACGCACCACTGAAGGAGGGACTCAGTCCAGGGGCAGCCATCCCAGGAGTGTGTGTTCCCCCTGCGGACTTGCCTTGGCTGCTGCGGTCGTACACGGACCCTGGGATGATGGCCTCACGGGCGTCATACATGGCGGTGGTCATAAAGCGGGCTCCCTGCAGAGAGGCACACCGGTGAGGAATTCGCCACCCCAGGATGAGCCTAGTGGGGGCCGGGGCCGCCCGCCCGCTCACCGGGTTGATGGTGTTGACCAGCTTGCGCGGCTTGCTGAACTGCATGAGGCTCTCGCGCAGATTGTTGAGGGGCCCCTCCACCAGCACCTTCTGCTCCTTGTAGTAGTTCAGCAGGTGGTTCCACAAGGGCTGCTTTGACAGGGCCTTCGGGTTACCGACAATGATGACCCCGTACCTGTGAGTGGTCACCAGAGGACAGCTCAGGACCACAGCAGAGAGGCCTTGAGGGGCCCTGGTCGTGGCGTGTTCTCTGGCATGAGGGAGGCTCCTCAGGAGATGAAGGGCTGGGACGCTGCAGGTGATGTGGATGGCAGGACCCCCAGGTAGAGGACTTGGAGAGGCGGGCACGTCACCAGCCCTTCCCTCAGCCCCCAGCCCCAGGCCTGGTAGACATGCCTCTGTTGTGACCTGGGAAGGCAGGGGCCAACACCCTGCGACTGGCACAGCTCCAGGTGTCTGGGCAGTTGAGGTGCTGCTGGCAGATCCTGAGTGGAGGCCTCAGGGACACAACGCTCTGGTTCTCGTGCAGGTGTCTTATTTCTCAGGACCAGAGCTGGACCTGACCCAGGCAGGGTAGGAGCCCTCCTAGGGGCCTCCTCCAGAGAAAAGTCAACCGCAGACCAATTGACCAAGACCCGTGACTTGTATGATTAGCACATTGGGTGGGCTCTTTGCCTGCTGTAAAGCCCTCTGGGGGCCCTACACCCTGGTGGAGGGCCTGTGAACAGGCCAAGAGGGGTTTCTCCTGGCCAAGCATGAAGGGACACCCAGTGTACCTTGCCCTGGTCAGGGCCACATTGAGGCGCCGGGGGTCGTTGAGGAAGCCAATGCCCTGGTGCTCATTGGCCCGCACACACGAGAGGATGATGAAGTCCTTCTCTCGGCCCTGGAAGGCGTCCACGCTGGCGATCTCCACTTCCTGAAAGGGGTTCCGCTGTCATTAACAGGAGGACTCACCTGGGGCCCAAAGGTCACTGAGCACTGTCTCCACTCCCCCCTCCCCCGCCAGTCTTCCCCATCCGGGCCCCCCACAGGGCAGACCGTGAGGATCCCTATGCCCCTGGCGGTGTGGTTGTTTCACAGCTGCTGCCTGACTTGCCTTTCCCGCGCTTCTGTTCCCTGCGAATCGCTAGTTTCCCCGAGGGTAAAGGGGCAGGCAGAAGAGGGCCCTCCTGGTGCCTGGGGGTGGAGGGGCATGGTGGCAATACCTGGTAGAGCTTGGTGTGCAGGGAGCCGCTGAACTGCATGTACTGCACCAGGTACGAGCGCTGGCCCTCGTAGGGAGTGATGATGCCAATCTGGTCTGGCTTGGCACCCGCCTTCAACAACTTTGTAGTGATTTTCTCCACATTGGCAGCTTCCGTCCTAGGAAAGCACATGCCTATGGGATCAGTGCTGGGCCCAGTGCCTCTGGCTGCACAGGCACTGTCTGGAGCTCACATTGGCTCAGGAGGCCTGGGCTGTGGCATCAAGCCAGGAGACTCCTTGTGGGAGTGAGGGTGTGTGTGTATGTGTTTAATCATGTGTGTGTGTGTGTGTGTGTGTGTGTGTGGGGTGGTTAATCATGCTCACCGGTTCAGGTAGGAAGTACCGGAGCTGGCGATCTCCTCTTGGCCCTGAGTTACGTAGAAAAACATGGGCTTGTCGGGCTGGGGCCACTGGAAGTCAAAGCCCTTCTTCACACGATCCGCTGTCAGGGGAACAGAGCTGACGTCAGAGCCACTGTGGGCTGGGAGGAGAGCGAGGGGGGAGGGAGAGGAGGATAGCTGTTACCTGCGGTCACACCGTTCTGCAGGGATCCCTCGTAGAAGATGTTGGAGGGAAAAGCGCTGAGTGCAGGGTGCATCCGGTACTGCACCTGCAGGCGGATGGGCCGAATGCCCAGCACCACGAGTCGCTCAAACAGCGACTGTGACAGGCCGGCCTTAGCCGCCTTTTTGCACATCACCACAGGGCCCAGCTGGCAGTGGTCGCCCACGAGGATCAGCTGCAGGGGGAGGAGAAGCAAGGGGCTTGAGCAGACACATCTCACAGGGCTGATGCCCAGAGGCAGGTGGGACACCAGTTCCCCATGTGCCCCAGGCACTTGCCCTCCATGGGCAGAGTGGCTGCCATGGTTCTCCTGGGCCCATGCCTCACCTGCCCTGCTGGACAGGAGGCCCACATGTGCCAGAGCCAAGCTCGCATAGCAAAGAGGGCTCGTGACCTCCTGCCAAGGCACACGGCTTCTTACCTGCTTGGCCCCTAGGACCACAGGCACCATGCACTCGGGCTCGGTGGCCTGCGTGCTCTCATCAATGAGAATGGAGCGGAACTGCATCTTGGCCAGCCGAGGGTCGCCTGCACCCACACACGTGCAGCAGATGACGTCCGCATTCTGTGGGAGAACAGGGTCTTCTTACCTGCAGTGTCCTTGGGGCCTGAGTCACATGCGGCATCAGGTAGACCCTGGCCCAAAGGATCCTAGGGGGACACTGCACCTCAAGGACCCTCCCCTTGTGGTGTGGTTTCACTCTGCAGTAGTTACAGCGCCTGGTGTCAATCTGAGAGGATTTCGAGTGAAGGGGTGGAGTCTAGTCTGTCAAATCTTTTACAGCCAATGAGGCCTCTGTGTGGACATGGTCTTCCCCCTGAGAATGCTGGGAATTCCTGGATTTCCTCCTTGGAGGCAGGAGAGTGTCTCTCTCTCTCTCCTGGCTCACTCCCTTGGAGACGCTCTACTGACAAGACACATGGCACTACGCTGATAGACCTGTGCCCTGGGAACTGGAGAAGCCACGCGGAGAACCCTGCCAGCACTGAGATGCTTATACCACCACTGGATCCAAAGACTTTCTACCCACTGGCCTGTGATCATCCTGCATTCAGCGTCATTGCACGCATTTCTTGAGTCCAAAGAGGACTTTGATTGGTATCAGACGTATGGGTTAATACTGGACTTAAGGACTTGATCTGGCTTGGGCTGGGATGTTTTCTCCATGTTCAATTGCTCTTGTATATAAACCTCTTTCTTAAACACATATGTGTGTCCATAAATTTGTTTCTCAAGTCTACCCAGAGTAACACAAACCCTTTGAAAGAAAGTTCTAGATCCACTTCCCAGGCTCCCAGCCAAGCAGGCTGTTTTGAAAACCTCGTGATTCAGGCAAGCCGACATCCCAAAGTAGACAGAGACACCGAGCAAAAGGGACCGTCTATACCTTCCCCCAGCTGACCCGTGTGTGCCGCCAGGTGCTGAGCAGGACACTCTCCCTGCCCCGACTCCCGCCCCCGTCCAGCCCCGAGCTGCACGCACCATGAGCAGTTCCCTCTCAGCAGTGCGCTTCAGGGCCCGGTATCGCTTCTCGTCCGCTGACGACAGCTCCCCGGTCTCATCCTTGAGCTGCTGCAGCTTCTGCAGCTCTGGCATGCTAGAAGCCACAGACCCGTGAGAGGGAAGGGCAGGGGCCACACCTCCCTCCATCCAGACAAGCCTCCACTTACCTATCCATGTTCCTGATCTGGTTGTGCAGCGCCAGGAAGGACACGGGGGAGTCGATGGCCTCACGGCTCTTGGCGCAGAGCCGCACCACCTTCAGCCCCGTCTGGTGGATCTTCTCCGTCAGCTGGTCCACCGCAATGTTGCTGGGGGCGCACACCAGCACCGGCCTGCAGCACACCCGGGACGGCCTGGTCTCAGTGGCCACCAGAAGCAGCACCACTACCTCATGCCACGCCAGGAAACCCTCCTCAGCCACCGAGAGGCAGAGACGCAGGGCAGCCTGTGTGACTGTGTCCCAGGTCCCCCCACCCCACTCCCTGCTTACCCGTTGCCTTGCCGTGCCAGGTGGTAGACGATGGTGGCTGAGGTCACGGTCTTGCCAGTGCCCGGCGGCCCCTGGATCAGGCTCAGAGGCCTCTGCAGCACCGTCTTCACGGCATACACCTTCAAACACGCGAGCTGTCAGACGGGCACACTCCCCGCCGCCGCCCACAAAGACAGGGGGGGGCCTCCTGGGGCCGGTGCGGACCTGGGAGTGGTTGAGGTCGGGGAGGCCCTGGGCGGTGAAGCGCTTGGGCAGCTGGCACTTGATGATGACATCCTCCACCTCGTGGCCCAGCAGCTTGTGGTAGATGTAGCCGGACACGGAGGTCTCGTCCACCGCAAACGTCTTCAGTGCGCTCTGCATCCTGGGAGGAGAGCCTGTGGTGAGCGAGCGGCCCAGGCCCCGGGCCGCTGCAAGCGGGGTGGGGGCCACGTGGGGGGACACACCACCCACCTGTCAAACGAAGTCGACTTCCACACGAAGTCCACCTGGAAGTTGTGGGTCACCTCCACCGGGGCGCCCACGCTACTCCGCAGCTCAATCGCAATCTCATCGCCGTAGTCTGTGTGCTGAGTTAAGGGGGTGTCCTCGGAAAGTGGACTCTCCGGCCGGAGTCCTGCCCACCAGGCGTCCACAGACCCTCCTCACAGCGCGACTGTGCTCTCGTGCACGGGCCCCAGGCCCCCACCCCCGGCCACAGTCCCACCCTCGGGGCTCAGGGACCTGCACGCAGGGCCTCGTGCTCACGAGGAGCTTGTCTGAGAGACAAGCAAGGCCAACAGGTCAGGCTGGGTGCATCCCAACTGCCACGGGCTCCCCAAGCCACAGAGACAAGCACAAACACACGCCCTCTGCCGCGGGGGAAGGGGAGGGGGTGAGGGGGGACTTCCCGCTGGTAAAGAGACTCTGGCCATGGCTGTGCGGCCCTCCTGGCCCTCCCCACCTGTCTGCTCGCCCCAGCGCTCCGGGCGTGGAGGATACTGTCAGGGACCTTGATGACGTGGCCGATCCCTTTCCACAGGGGCGCCAGGTCCCCCTTGTAGCGTAGGCAGATCTCGTCCCCCTGCATCAGCCGCATGTCTTCCGGAAGAAAGATGGGACACGGTTAGTACGTCCACCCTTGCTGCGGCCCCATCCAAAGGGAAGGTGAAACTGAGGGGCACTTTACAGGAATGGGCACTTATGCTATTATGGTTCCAAGTATTTTAAAACTTAAACAATCACCTCTTAACCAAATTATGACTAAATCCTCATTACCAGAGTCAGTCTTGGGCAAAGTGAAGTAGGCGATTCTCTTCTTGTTAAGGCCCAGGTCCCACCTGACCGTGATGTTATCTTGAGTCTGAGCACACGGAAGACAAGAGCCAAGTCAGCCCGCACAGCCACACCTGCCCACCGGCCCTCAGGCCAGCGCCCACAGCCCCAGGCTGGACAGCAGTGGGAGTGTGATGCCCAGACTTGCAGACAGACGGAGTCTTCTGGGGAGCTGAGAAGGGACAGTGGAGGGCAGCCAGGGCACGCTGGCCCCCATGATGCCAAAGGCGCTGTGCTCCAGCGGAGCCACCTCACCTGGGACTCCTTGAGCTTCTTGTCGTAGTCAGCCTCCAGTTTGACCAGCGGCCCAAAGATGTTCTGGTACTGGTAGGCATCCTCATAGCGCAGGAGCACGTGCTGCGGCTCCTCATCCACGCCTGGCTTCTCCAGGTCCTCCAGCGTGGCTGACGGGTTCTCCTGTGGCCAGCAGGCAGCACAGCCCACGTCCCCCTCTGCTCTCCTTGGGCTGGACCACCTCCCCAGCCCACCTGGGAGGCTCCTGATGGCTTTCGAGGTGGTGAGAGGAGCCTGGGTGTCCTGGTCTCTCCCTTCCCTGCCCTAGGAGTACATGGCCTCCCCCAGGAGAAAGACTTGGGTGGGCAGCATCCTGTGAGACAGTCCTTGGGGGTCCCTGGGACTCACACCCCAGGTGCAAATCCATCTGTATTTGTAATTTCTCCTTACAGTGGCATCTAATGAACACGTCTGAGGTAGCTCCTGAGACCTCTCCCCCCTCAGGACTCGTGTGTCCAGCACCAAGGAGGGCTTCTGTGGGGGGCATGGCCTGTGGCACCCTCCTAGAGTCCTTCCACACTGACCTCTCTGGGGGCCACAGCCTTGGGGCCACTTGCAACAGGTACAATGGAGTGGTCTTGTCTCCTCGCCCTTTCTCCTGCCCACCGCACCTCCTTACCCAGCCCCCTGAGGCCCTACCTAGCTCTCTGTTACCAAAAGACAAGGATCTGCCCTCTAGTGACATGGCTATTGAGTGCCACCTGTGTCCAGGACCCCACCCCTTTGGCATGCCCCCCGCAGTCTACCTCTGGTTCAATCTGCACCCGGCGCCTGGCAGCCTACCTTCCAGAGCTCCTCCAGCTTGTTGATCTGCTGCGCGGTGATCTGCCGTGCCCGCAGCTGCTCCTGCTCGGAGGGGATTTTCACCAGCCACGACAGGAAGCAGCGGTCCTGGATCAGTGGCTGCCACTGCGAGCTGTCCCAGTTGATGTCCTTCAGGCTGCTTTGGCTGGCGCATGGTTGCCTGCAGGGGCCCCGACACAGGTTGGCTGGGTGGGGACAGCACCAGTGGGCCTCCTGTGCTCACAAAGAGCTCTGAGGCCCAGCCCAGCCCGTACCTGCACAGCAGCACCACGACCGAGTCGGCCTTGGCAGGGATGAAGCCGAGCAGGAAGACGTTGCGGCAGCCGCAGTTGTAGCACTCCAGCACCGTCTCGCCCAGTGGCCCGTCCTTGTGCAGCGTCACCTCCTTGCACTTGGCCCTCACGAGGTGGTTGACGATGTGGCTGCAGCCAGGTGACACATGCTCACATCCTCCAGACAGACACAGACACACACCCCGCCACCACTCCCGCCCTGCTCCCTGGCTTCCCACTGCACTCCCTCCCTCCCTCTCTGAGGCTGGTGTCCTTGGAGCCCAACTCCCCTGACCTGGCTCCCACCAAGCACAACTGCACCTGACTGTACCTCGCAGGAGATCTGCCTCCCAGCTCCTAAGTCAAGCTGCCTCCTAAAGGCCTCCTCACTCTCCCCGCCCTGATGTGGCTCCCTGCAGCCCCATGCCTGCCTCTCCTTGCCCCAAGGACACATGATCGCCCAGGAAGGAGCTTGTGGGGATGCACACTCCTCCTTGAGCGGGAGCTCTCTTCCTCCTTGTCCTTTCTCTTCAACCCGCAGCTGACCCTGACTCCAGCCGGCCATCTGGGGCCCACGGTTTTACCCAACGGGTTGACGTGGGCTCCAGGCCTCAGGACAGGAGGAGCCCATGGGCCTCTCCCTTCACATCTGCACACCCCACTGCCAGCTTTAGCTCAGACACCAAGAGGCCCTTCCAGAGTTCCCAGTTCCTAGGCCTTCCTCACCCACTTCTCTGGCCACTGCAGCCCCAACACACCCCTTCCCCCGCTCAAATCACTGGAGTAAGCTGGCTGGACACCGCCCACTGGAGTTGGCAGGGGAGCCTGTCTGTACAGGGCCCGGCTCACTGGCCTGGACTTAGCAGGAAGTGGAGGCGCCAACTCCAGATTTTATTAAACTGCTTTTCCTGCTGGAGTTTATGCCAAGAAAGCAACACCTCGATCACCAGAACATTCTGAGGAAGGGGCGTGAGTGTGTGTGTCCTGAATGTGTCCTGTCCTCCTCTCCCCAAGGACCTTCCGCAGACCCCCGCACCCTGGGTGAGCACCTTGGGCAACGTAGGCTGTTTTTCTGTCTGAGAGTCAAGCCTGCTGGCACCTGTCATTCTCCTTCTCCCAGAGTAAGCCTCGGAGCAGCAACACGGCTGCCACTCCCAGCATGGGCAGACCGGCGGTCTGCTGCTCAGTGCCCAGCCAACACCAGTCCCCTCAACACAAGCACCAGGCGGGCTCGTGACCAGCCGATGGGAAGGCCAGAACGGACCCAACCCTCTGGGGTGCCTCATTCAGTCCCGAGAGGGCATCCCGGGCACATGATCCCAGGCAGGCAGCACGGCGGGCCTCACCATAATGAAGATGAGCAGGCGTGCCAGGGGCTCATCATGCCGAAACAGATAAATGAAAGCGGGACTTCGAATGAAGCCAACCCTCCTTGCACAATAAAGAGAACCACCGAGAGTAAATCAAGCCCGCTAGCTCATCAAGGCGAGCACACACCACCGTCTGCTTCACGTTAAGCCCGTCACCGAGGGGGAGAAAGGCCGGGCTTGCTGGATGGCTCTGCCACGCACACAGAGACCCCCTGGCTGGCAGGTTTAAATAAGGGCCCAGGGGGTGGGGGACCGACCTGCCGGAGGTGTTCCCACGCCCGTTGCAGAACCACTTCTTGCTGGTGTTGCAGTACACCACGCAGGCGGGGTCGTGGATCCCACAGTAACTGAGGAGGCAAGAGCGGCAATCAGAGGCAGGCACCTCTGGTTTTAATTTGGCTGGATGTAAAATTCTTTCCTTTTACAACATTTTTAAGTTTTTCGTTAAACACAAATATTCAAACCCAACCACCCCAATAACAAAATCAAATGCACAGTGCCCACATGCTGCTCAACCCCAGAAACACAGGGACGACAGGGCTGCCTCGGGGTCACCACCCAGCAGCAAAGCGGCCCTCTGGCGGGACGCAGGCTGGACATGCTGAGGCCATTTCAGCCACCCCACTTCTCATGCAGTTTCAGAAGTGCAGAGACACACAGTTGTCCCAGTACCGTTAGCTGCCCTGAAACAAAATACGGTTGCAGCTGCTATCGCTGAGCCTTGCCAATAGAGGGCGCTGTTCTCCCAGGAGAGCAGTCCATCCAGCGGGGATGGGGGGGTGGGGGTGGGGTTCCCCCTGGGGATTGTGTTTCAGAAAACCAACCCTGCAGTCTGCGCAGAGGAGCTGCAGGCAGGAGTCCACAGCGCGGCCAGCCAGGTTCCCAGCTCAAAGGGAGCCGGAACCCTCCTCCTGCCCTGCCCGTCTGCTAGGGGGATCCTGGGAAGGGGCCAGGCCAGGCTGCACCACCTGCAACCGCACCACAGGAGGCGCCCACGTGCACTCTGTGGCAAGCACAGACTGGAGAGAGAAACTGGCTCGGAGAGACTGCGTCTAAGAGGCCAGGCCAGAGCCAGACAGAGCCTCCTGGTTGCCCACTAGAGGTGCCAGCATTCGAGTCCTGGCCACTTCCTCATCAGGACCCAAAGAAGGAATCTGCTCTGGATACAGTCTCTAAATTTGGTCCAGAGACGGGTCTAGTCAGTGACCACTAGCTTTTCTAGAATCTTAGCCACTTCGGGGTGGACTTTGTAGAAGGACCATCCCTGGCCTCCAGACCCAGACTCCCAAATGGAAGAAGGCTCTTTTCTGGGGAGCAATGGAACCCTGGAAAGTGGGGGCCACACCATCAGCTGGGTAACTGGGAGCCCCAAAGGGCATGAACCCACTTCCTGTCCAGTATCAGGAACCTGTATGCACCACGGACCTGGGTCGCCTCAGCTTGCACAGCTGACCAGAGCTGCACAGCTTAGCCCCAGTGGAGCAGCCTGCCCCGTTGGCAGAGTCCACCCTGCCCAGGATGGCCGACTTACCTGCACGCATGGACGGGGAGGTCCTTGGTGTAGTAGGTGTCCTCCTCGTCCTCCTCAAAGTTTAGCTCTGCCAGCAACTGGCTGGTCTTAGCCACGCTGTCGTCCACGGCCCCATTCTGTAGGATGCCCTCGGGCCCACCAACCTAGGGTATAAGGTGGTGGCACCAAGCTGAGTGGGACTCTGAGGAGCTCAGGCGACCTCCTGCCTTGAACCCTCAGCGGTTTCCCCATCACCCTCCCTGCATCCTGCTGGTTAGACATCCTGTCACCAACCCCCTCCCAGCCCCACCCCACCCGTCTCTCCAGGCCGACCATGGTGGCATGGGGCACAACCACAACAGGGATCTAGAAAACACTTTGCTCTCACAACACACCCACACAGCCATGGGGATGTGTGGTCCTTGTCAGCCACAACACTAGGTGACCTACCTGTAGGGACCCCTGCCTGCCTGAGCCCTGCCCCAGCATCTGAGTCACATTAATACATGTTGTGCAGCACGGCAACCAGGCGAACTGCGAGAAGATGGTCAGCTGGGCCTCGCCATCCCCGCAGCTGTGCACCACTCAGCGAGTATGTGGAGCAGGGACGGCAGCCGCCCACAGGCCCCCCGGAGAAGGCTGACATCTCCGCTGTGCAACGGCTGTGCCACTCACCCACACGCTCGAGGCAGGCTGCTTAGCACCACACACGAGAAGGACGGACCCCTTCTTAGACAAGAACCCTTGGTGCCACCTGCACCTCCACGCTCCCAAACATCAGAAGCGGAGATGACACACAGACTCATGCGCCTCTGCCCCCTTCACCCAACTAGACTCACCGAGAAGAGACAGAAAGCCACGCCCACACCGGCAGCTCGGGGCAGCAGGTCGACCGGAGTATGAGGGCTGGCAGGCCTGCTTCCCACTGCCAAGGCTGGGGTTCAGGGGTACAAGGCCGCTCGCGCATGCACGTTAACTGGGTAGTAGTAGCCGCTTTAACACCAACAGTGATTTAGAAATCCATCTGACCTTCGGACTAGATAAATGAGCCGCTGGGGCCGGTGCCTGGGCCAGAGAGGGCCCACGTGTGTCAGTGACAAGGCGGGCAGAGGAAGGAAGTACACTTATATACTAATATGTATATGAGGGCCCTGTCTGCATCCCTGCTCCCCACAGTGGAGGTCCTAACAGGGCCATCCCCCTTGCACGTAGGAGCTTCCTGGAAGCCCCCCACCTCCACCTCTACCTCCAAGCTAAGGCTCCTGCTGGGAGGCCCTTGGGTGCGCCCCAGGTGTACACCACACCATCTAGGTCCACCCAGAGGGTCTGTAGATGCGCCCACACAAGGCAGCACCTATAACAACGGTAGCATCCTGCCCTCCGGTGTCAGCTCCACACCCGGCCTGACACTTCAGACCAGACTCATCGGAACCTTGCAAGCACCAACCAGGTGCCATTAAACCCCTGGCACTCTGATGCCCTCTGCAGGCACGTCCTCCGTCTGCTCACCCTGCCCGGGACTCCCGAGGGCCAGCCCAGCACCTCTCCCCTCCAACCCCCAACACAAACGGTGAGCCGGGACAGACTCCCTGCCTGTTCTTCACCCCAAGGCTTATTAGATGTCTTTAAACCTTAAATCAAAATTATTACCTGAAGTTACCTTAAAACCAAACCCACTGATAAGGGGTCCCTGCGGACTCTAAATGGCCCTGAAGTCCGGAGCAGAATTGCTCCTGAGGGTGTCTGAGACAAAATCTTCAGGGGAGCAGGCAGCCTCATCTTTCTCCTTCAGAACAGCTGGTGAGTTTCAATGGCCAGCCCTGTGGTTAGCAGTCCAGCACGACCCACAACTCCACCGGGGCTCCTGACGGGACCCTCGGTGAGCTTCCTGAGTCCATGTGGGCCTTGAGCACGGCTCTGACTCAGAACAACCCTATGTACAACACGACGAGACACTGACTACTCTCAAAACTGCTGTTAAAGCCCATCCATGGCAGGCACGGGCCCGTGATCTCCACAGGCCCGAGCGGACCAACTAGACAGGCAGACGAGACAGGAATCTTCGGAGGCAGTGAGTTTATGTCAAAGGCGGGCGAGAACAGCTGTACCACTCAAAGGATGTCATGGCACTGAATTACTGTTGTTGTTAGGGGCCATCAATCAGTTCTCGATGTACAACAGAAGGAAACCCTGCCGGACCCGTGCCACCCTCCCAATTATGTCTGAGCCCATCGAAGCAACCACTGTGCACAACCATCTTGTCAGGGTCTTCCTCTTCTCCACGGTCCCTCTCTACCTGACCAAGCATGAGGTCCTCCAGGGACTGGTCTCTCCAGACAAGCTGGCCAAAGTACATGAGATGATGTCTTGCTCCGTTGCTTCTAAGGAACATTCTAGCTATGCACCTTCCAAGTGCGGAACTGTACATGTAGAAACTGGTGAAGTACGTTGTGCTGTATACACTCTCAATAACAAAATAACCATTCTCGATACCAAACAAAAGAAAATTCAGGGGGAAAAATAAAAGCCAGAGGGGGGAAAAGAGGCCTCCCACAGCTGAGCACCCAGCCACCACGTGAAGCACATACACCTGCATGCACCCTCCTGCTCTCCTCGTCCTAAAAGGACACGTGTGCTCTGACCCCCCGGCGAGGTCCATACTCCGCTGTGGCCACCTAACGCACGCGAGGCCGCCTGCCGGCAGACCAACAGCAGCAGCTGGTATTCTCACCCACCATTAGCACAGGGCGCACCTCACGGGTCTTTCGTCTCCTGTGCGACCAGTCTGACCTCGCAAACATGGGCTCTGACCAGAGGCGGGTGACCCGAGTAGACTGCAGCTACCACAGTGGGCCCTGCCAAGGCTGAGGGCTCCAGCGAAAGCCCCTCAGTCCGAGTCTGTTGGGGGCAGTGAGTGGTGGCAGGCCCCGTCACCAACTGGCGAAGCTAACATCCACTGTCTCCACACTGTGCCCCTGTGAAGAGCCCTCTCTCTTTACCTCCAGCACCTGCCTGGCCCTGCCACACAGCTTCTCGATACTCAGTGTCCAGTCCAAAGTCCAGGGCCCTCTAAGTAGCCCTATCTAGCCCTGGGATTGGCGATCACTGACCTGACTAAAGAAGAATCGCTCACAGGATGACAGGGAGGGAGGGGACAGTGATGCTATGCTGCTGGACCCCACAGGGGTTGACGGTTTCCTGACTGCAGAGAAAACCCGTGCCAGGTGACCCCTAAACCCCACGCAGGCTATTCTCTGACGTCAAAGGGCTGCGCCTTGCCCCTGCGTGCAGCCTCCTGTAGGGGTCTGGCTTTAGAGCATCTCGGCAGGAAAGAGGGGGTAGGCGCCTTCTCTACCCTGAAGGATCTGAAGCAAGGACCCAGGTGGTCTCCTGGTTTTTTGGCTGTCTCCTGAATTCACATACAGGAGATCCTAGGACAGCGGTTCTCAACCTTCTTAATGCTGCGACCGCATGTGGTGGTGACCCCCCCAACCGTAAAATTATTTTCATTGCTACTTCATCACTGTCATTTTGCTACTGTTATGAATCGGGTGACCCCTGTGAAAGGGTCATTCCACCCCCAAGGGGGTTGCGACCCACAGGTTGAGAACTGCTGTGCATGAATAGCCCCTCCACCCAGAGGTGGGGTGGCATCCATGCAGTCTGGTGCCCAAGGCCAACAAGTGACTAGACACCGCTCATCTATGGACCCAGTCAGCAGGAGCCCACCGGAGCTGTGCTACACAGGCCACCAGCTCTCACCCCAACAATGCCTGAGACTTCCGGTGCCCCAGCACTGCCGTCAGAGGAAGGGCTACAAACTGGCCCTTCATAATCCCAGCTGCTCAGCTCCCCCATCATTCTGAGCTGAGCAAAGGCATGAAGGCCCAGGAGGGTGAGCCTGTGTGCTGACACAGCAGGCCTGGGCAAGCCTGAGGGCTCCACAGCATAAGCCCCGGCCAGGACTGACAAGGCCTCCCCCTGCCCTGCTCTACCTGTAAGACTCTGGGAGTCCACTCACCCCCGGTTCCCCACTGAGTGGGGAGGGGCAGAGGCTCAAGTCTAATGAGCACTACAGCATGAACCACTAGTACGCATGCCCACTCAGCTGTCCTGTCCCCTACGAGGCCACCCTGCACCCAGTAGCCTCCAAGCCTCCAAAAGAGCACCACACCACCTTGTGCAGCGGCACCCGAGAGCCTCTCACCCTCCACAGCAATGTTTCTCAAGCTGTGGGGCGAGCCTCCTTTGGGGGTGTGTGTGTGTGTCGAATGACCCTTTCCCAGGGGTCGCCCGATTCATAACAGTAGCAAAATGACAGTGATGAAGCAGCAACAACAAAAAAATGTTATGGTTGGGGGGGTCACGACCACCTGAGGAACTGTATGAAAGGGTGGAGGCATGAGGAAGGTTGAGAACCACTTCCCCAGTCACCGGTCCTCAGGGGTCCTTGTGATGCCCAGGCAGTGCAGCTGGCCAGGGGCTCACTTCCTCAAGGCGGTCCAGATGTTCTTCCCAGCACTGGTGGTGAGGCTGCCGATGAGAAAGATGTGAGGTCAGGCTGGCTGTGCCCACCACCTCACACGAAGCCCCACGCGGGCAGCTCTCAGCTCCTGGCACAGGGAGGAGGGGCCACCATAGTTGTGCGATGAAGGCAATCTACCGAGAGAGGAGGTCTGGTGTTCTAAACACTCCTGCAGTGACACCCCTGGCCAGGAGACAATCCCAGTTTGCCGTGTAAGCTCTGTGAAGCCAGGGGCGGGGGACTTATCCCGTCAATACAGTACACGTCACCAGAGAGGCAGCATCAAGACAACAGGCGTACTAAGTACACACACAGACAGATGATAAAATACGTCTCCTCTGCCCACGGACTACAACGATACCAAAACGCCTTTCTCTTTGGGATCACTGGGATCAACGGTCTGTGAACGAAGCCGATCTTGCTAATATTAGGGTTACCTTTCCTTCACATGCCAAATCTGGTTACAGAGCCCTTTCGTTCACCTCCCTGGAGTGTCCCCACCCCCACTGGCCACCTCAGGGAACCTGTCCCCTTTTTCTGCTCACTGAAGTGTCCTGGCAGTTTGGAAACAACCCCAGCAAATACCTCCCGAGAGAGACCGCCAGGTCATCTCACATTGATTGCCTCAGGCACAGCTGTACAGAGTGCTCGGTCACCGTGGGAAACATCACTCGGCTCATGCCCCGCTGACGCCACGGGTTGCCCAGGCCCACTCTCGGCAGAGGGGCAGGCACTCTGCTCTCTCTGCAAGCAGTACAGTCAAGCCTTGGAGGGGGACGGAGCAGGACCTTGGAGATTGGGCGGCTGGCCTGCTGTACCTCGGGATAGACTCTTCTTACAGTGGAAGCAAGCAGGGGGCAGGCAGCCACAGAGACCAGGCGCTGGGGCAAGGGGGCAAGGTCCAGCCCAGGCCTGCTCCAGGAGACAGAACAAACCAGGAAGGACACACAGTGTCCACAGTCACTGGTACAGACAGTTGGGTTCCTATTTAAAGGCAGGTCCCTGCCCACAGGCCTCTCGCCACAGGCACTTCATCCCTTTTTGTCCACTCGGGTGTCCCAGGTGACTGCTCACCACAAGTAACCATTAGCAACAGGTTCCAGTTCCCCACGTGACATGTGCTCCCATGTCTTTCGGGCCAACCCCCAGGCAGGCAGGTACGTGTCTGTCCAAGAAGCTGCTCACCTCTCCCACCAGTGACCACACCCCCCCCCCACAGCACTGCCCTGTGGGTTTCCCGCGTGGGGCACTCGAGTCTGAGCAGGCACAAGCGTGTGAACGCTACCAAACACATCATCCCCATTCTCGCCTGGAACTGCTAGGGAGAGTTCTTCAGTCCAGTGTGCCCCTGCCTGTTGCAGACTGCATCAAAGGTGGGCGCCTTTGTCGGCTGACTACTAGTAAGTACTCTGAAGGCACGGGAACCCTAGCAGCATAGTGAGCGTGCAGTGGGCTAAGTCAGCAGTCTGAAGCCACTCACCGCTGGGGGACGGGACGGGACACGTGGGGCTTTCTACTCCTGTAAAGACTTAAGTCTAGGAAGCCTATAGGGCCAGTTCTACCCGGTCCTGTAGGGTCGCTGAGAGTCACCATTGACTCCATGGCAGTGAGAGACTGAAGGCTGGGGCTCGCACCAGGATCTCCTTATTTGCAGGGGACGTGCCCACAGCAACAATCGAGGGTTGTGTTGACCTCGGTGGGCCAGACGCTCTGTCCATGCATGAGTGGCGATTCTTCCAAGAAGGGTGGGAGGGGCAGGAAAGGGCAAAATCCTTTCCCTTCACCATCTTCCGGGCACTTGGAGGGCAGGGTCTGGGCTCTTACCCCAGGACTTCAGGGGCTTTGCTAAGACTCAGCTTCATCTGATAAACAAAGTGCATGCTATTTGAACCATCCAGCAGTCACGCTGGACCCTAGCTGGCACACGAAACCCGCTGTACAAGAAACTGGCACAGTCTAGGCAATGGCCAAACCAAAGGACATTAAAGAGGACAAGCTAGGTAACTGGGACCTCAAAATCAGACGCTTAGGTGCATCGAAAGATTTCACCAACAAAGGGAGGGGGGTTAAAAAACAAAACTGAGGGGGGATGGGCCAGGACATCGATGGTAGAAAATGCTTTCTTTCACACGCGCGTGCCTGCAGCCTGCACTACCTGAACTGTAAGCAGGTGCGTGGGCAGACAGGCAGTTTGACCAGGTATGGGCAGGAGAGTGGGAGCACACGAGGGACCATGGTGACTGACAGACATTGAAGAAGATGGGTACTTCCCCAACAGTTACATGTGGAACCTCCCTGTGCCCCTGCACTTCTGCTCCCAAGAATCTACCCACCAGAAGAGAGTGCACATGTCCCCGGCAGCACTCTCCACAGGAGCCCCAGGGTGGCAATACCCCAGCATCACCAATGGATGGCTGAGAACTCCAGGGGACCGCCCTCATGGACCAGAGTATTATTCACCCACAGGAAAGAAGGGCGTTCCTACACCTGGAACAGCCCTGAGTGCACACAGGGTCAGGGGTTGCAGGAGAAGCGATGACGGGCACAGGCCTTCTTCTGGAAAGATTGATTACAGGTGCACAATTGATTAAGAAACTCTCTGCCCCCAGCCTGTGCCGACTCACAGTGAACCTATAAGGCAGAGTAGAACTGGCCCTGTGAGTTTCCGGACTGTAACGCTTCACAGTAGAAAGCGCCCCACATTTCTCCCAAGGAGCGGCTGGGTGGCTGTTTCAAACTGCTGTCCTGGTGCATCCCAGCCCAGCGCAGCACCGCTATGCCCCAGAGCTCTCTGCACAACCGACAATGGTTTAAAACCCGAGAACGAACTAAACGCCACTCAACTGCACACCAGGACTGGGTGGACTTGGTGATATGTGAATTCATGTAGCCCCAAGTGCTCTCCACAGAAGCCAGCTCCACAGCCAACTCCTGAGGGCAAGCAGGGAAACCCTTCCCAAACAATCCAGCCAACTCACGCCCCCGACTGGCACAGGAGCCAATCAACTGGCCGCCACTTTCCAATGCTTCTCAGACACTTTCCCAGCCCCAAATTCAGACCCTCCTCCAGCAGCCCCCACAGAAACCACCCTCCTTCCCCTGGAAGTAGGCCAACAGGTGGGCGGGGACACCTTTGCATGGAAATAAAAACCCTTGTGTCACAGCGGACCAAAAACACCTGTCACCGGAACTCCAGAGAGCCTGGCCACATGTTTATTTCCTGGGAGCAACATAATGCGCTCATTTTGTACATCTCAAAGCTCAGGTGCACGAAAATAAATCGATTGGAGAGAGGGCACACCCAGCAATTTATCACAAACAGAACTCAGCACCCCGAGGGCCTGAGGCCACCCCATCCAAGAACCTGCTGTCTCGTCTCACACTGGCTCCGGTTAAAAAGGGATTCACAATAGCTCAACAGCCTTTCACAAGCAGTCTGGGTCCCGGCCCGCTGCTCCACAGCAGATGCTTATCCACAGCCTCCTGAGCACCGGCACCAGGCAGAAACCACCGTCTGCACCACGTGGTCTGCTCACACACCAGCTTTTTGATTCCCTGCAACCTGACTCTCACTGCCACGGAGTTGGTTCCGACTCCCAGAGACCCTACAGGGTAGGGCAGAACTGCCTGTGGGTTTCTGAGACTCTTAACTCTGCAGGAGTAGAAAGCTTCATCTTTCTTCCGAGAAGGAGTTGGTGGTTTTGAACTGCTGACCTTGCAGTCCAACTCCTAGCCCGCTATGCCACTGGGGCTCCTTTGTGACCTGCAGAGTTAGAACAATATACTGCTGTCCCTGTCTGACAGCTGCCGAAACGGAGGCTCTGGCCCACTCACCGAGCGCACCCTCCTCACTCCCACCCAGTACGCCCAAATGCAAACAAGGTTGCAAGCCTCCCCACACTGGTCTCCACACACCTGTTCTCCCCGGTGTCCCGCCCTGCAACCCTTCTATTTTGAGGAATCTGGGGTTAGAATGAGTCAAGTATGTTCCACTGCTCCTGGAAGCTAAAAGAAAGCCCAAGTGGGTGGTCTACCCACGAGAGTGACTCACAGACTAGAATAGAAGCCCCCCTCCCTTGGGCTGAGGATGCAGGTGGCTCCCCACGGCCCAGGCTGTCCATCTTCTCCCAGGAATGCACCTGAGACAGGGGAGCCTCAAAGCCCTCCCTGGTACTGAGACTCCCGGAAAGGACGTGGAAGGGCAGGCTCCGGGCAGAGAAGGCTTGCTGGTGGAGGGTGAAGATGGGTCTGAAGAAGGGAGCTGGGCAGCCAGCATTTCTGAGCCCGGGCATGCACAGCTCCCAGTCCAGCAAGGGCTCAGGTCCAGGAAGTACCTGCAGCTGTGCTGCTCACAGCCCAAACCCAAACTCAAAGGCCCGCTGTGGTCCTTCTGACCAGTCATACCATTAAAAAGGAATACAGTTTCCGACGGGCCAGGCCCACTTTAATAAAACCCACAGACACCACCCCACTGGAGACCAAAACTCGAACCCAACTTTCCCAAGGCCGGCCTCCCGGGTTATGTAACAGGTCGGTTTCAACAACAAGCCATGCAAGAAAGAAAAACAAAATGTAACCTGTCTCTTGAACAATCTTAACAACCAGCCCGCGTGAGAGTCGGAAATCAGAGGTGAAACGGCCCTTCGGCTCTGGAAGCCAGGACCCTCTGCTTGCCAGGTGCCCAGACTGGGAACACGTGAACCTGTGCCTGAATGGGGGTGCCCAGCTGGTGGAGGCCACAGGTGGGGGAGGGCAGCCAATAGGCCAGAGAGAAACGAGCAGGTCACCCCAGATCTGTTCAGAATGGGGAACCAGGACTGGTCAGAGGGGCCCTGGAACAGGCTGGAGGAAACTTGGACACGGACAGGAGAGCCCAAGCCCAGGGCAGGGCCTGGACCTAGGAACCGGTCACCTCACACGGCTGGACTCATTTGGGAGAGCGGAGATAAGGAGGCACACCAGCGAGGTAACCCAGAAGGGAAGAGACGGGATGGGGGCCTGGACCCTGGGGAGGGCACCTCGGATCCGTTCAGAACGGGGTGAGAGGCAGGCTGGAGGGAGACCCCTGGACGTGTCCAAGGGGATCCCGGGCAGGGCGGGAAGTCGGGCCGCGAACCTCCAAAGCCCTTCGGGGGGCGGGGGGAGGTTCCAAGGGCAGGTTGACGGGGTGGGTGCTGGAACACATCGAAGGGGGGCCGGGGCGGGCCAGAAGCAGCCCGAGGCCGGCGACCTCGGGTCGGCCGGAGAGGGAGCTGGCAGCTGGCAGGCGCGGGGGGGACTCGCCGCTTCCGGCCGGCCATGCGCCGCTTACCTGCGCGTCGAGCTGTCCGGCCGCAGCGCCCGCGCCGCCCGGGCCTCCAGCGCCGCCGGCCCCGGGGCCTCCAGGACCGCCCGGGGGCGTCTGAGTCTGGCTGGGAAGGGTGAAGTCGGTGAACTCAAACTCGGAGCCCTGCGTGTCGGCGCCCAGAAGCTCGGCCTCCTCCGTGTCCAGGAAGGTGAGAGTCTGCGAGCTGGGCCCGTACGCCTCCACGCTCATGGCGCTGCCGGGACCGCGGGCCGGGCCGCTCCGCCTGTACTCGAGTCCGCCGCCGCGCGGAAACCTAGGCCGCAGGCCGCAGGCCCCTC